CTTTTGCTCCCCGTTCCCCTTGAACAAAGTTATCTCTCACGAATTCACAGTCTTCCCGCTATCATTGGCGGAGACAGATCTCACTGATCCGAAAAGAGAGAGGAAAAGGGGAACATTAGCAACATTGTCCAGGGGATAGGGGCGATTCCGAACGGCGTCGTGGGACTGCAGCATATCAGTAAGATTAGCGGAAGACATCGTTTGCAACATAATCGGAATCATTCCGATGCGGGGACTCGAACCCCGGTCGCGTGGGTGAGAGCCACGAATCCTAACCAGCTAGACTACGTCGGACACATCTTATAGGGATTGGTCAGACACTTCTAACTCATGAAGTCACATTTGCTGAACTTCCCCACGCCTAGTCACGTTGTCAGAAAAAGAGAACTTGAACCCAGGAGTGATCGACGTGTGGTAAGAAAATACATAGCACAGTTGCTAGTAAACCCGCGAAACCATACACTCTAAATGGTTCTCACTAACGCTAGCCTCGAATACTCTGCAAAGTTGAGGCAGGAATCATGGTGACACGGAATGGAAATATGGGAGATAAAAGTATCACTCAGAAATCTATATTCTACGAGTTTCTGTGTCACCAATCACCATAAAAAAGGTTCGCCTGTTGTTCATTCCCCTTGTGCGACATCGCTATCTTTCTATACCATCAATTTCTGATACACGTTGAATCTGGAAGTAGTCGTTGTGGTGGACTTCACCTATTTCAAAACTCCGTGGTGGCCTTGTGAGCTGTAAGGGGGGATTAATAACGATCTGTATGCGCGCGGTCGAGGGGATTGATGCGAGTACCAGGTAGCTTGATTGAAACCCAATATGAGATAGATGGTTCGGCAATTGCGCATTTATAGATATGCAAATGTGTGGCCCAATAAACTGGCAGTAGAGATTAATTGTCGGAGAAATGCAGTCGGCGGGCATCGAACGTGCGTCAATTATAAGGGACAAAATGCTTCGAACTCAGCCTTCATCGTTCGTCTGAATATTGTTAGGAAAGCATCACTTAGTGCTATTTCATGCATCAAAGTGTACATCCAGTCATCCGGCTCTCAATTTGTGGATTTACCGCTTTCAACTGCTGGTGGAGAAATGATTCGTACGCATGCACACTAAAAATCAGCCGAACTACAATATAGAGCTCCCCTCGATACGCAAAAACTATCTTCGCGTTGTTCCATGATGTCAATTACTACTCCAAAGATGGGGGTTCCATCATAATTGTGAATAGGCTGTTGCTCGAGCAGGTACGGCACTGACGTCAAGGTCGAGCACAGAATTAGGAATTTCGTGGCGCAGCGAGAAGTTTGTGCAACTGGCACGACCACAATTCCGACCCTTGTATGTTACCGTAGCCATCTTGGCTCAAGGTAGATATCAGGTCCTCTCGCTAGGCTGCAGCCGCAAGGTGAATGCCGGTGACGACCCTTTTGCTCCCCGTTCCCCTTGAACAAAGTTATCTCTCACGAATTCACAGTCTTCCCGCTATCATTGGCGGGGACAGATCTCACTGATCCGAAAAGAGAGAGGAAAAGGGGAACATTAGCAACATTGTCCAGGGGATAGGGGCGATTCCGAACGGCGTCGTGGGACTGCAGCATATCAGTAAGATTAGCGGAAGACATCGTTTGGGCACATATCGGGATCATTCCGATGCGGGGACTCGAACCCCGGTCGCGTGGGTGAGAGCCACGAATCCTAACCAGCTAGACTACATCGGACACATCG